AGTGGGTCACTCCATCCCGGGCAGCTTCCGTGCGTTCCCGCTGCACCGCGTCTTCTCATCGCAGTGCTGACGGCATGAACAGGTTGAACAGACTGAGGCTGTTTCCAACGGAGCAGAAATAAAGAGAACAACCCCGCCCCCTCCCTTCTCAACACTGGCCAGGAGCGGTGGCCTGGGACATGGAGCGAGGGCCTGGGTGGCCAACAGGAGGCAGGTACGGCCGGGACAGATCAGCCGGGCAGAGGAGGCCACGTCTTCTCGGGGCCACCTCTCGGCTCGGGGAAGTGAGGGCGGCACCGAGGCTGGAGGCGGCAGGGCCCGGGCAGGCGTCACTGGAGCGCCCGCACGAGGTAGAGCTTCTCCCCGTGCTCGCTGGTGAAGATGGGGGCCTTTTTGTAGTGCTCCACCAGCTCGTCCATGGTGTGGAACCGCCGCTGCCCGATGCAGTAGACGCTGTCCACGAGCTGCACCTTGAAATGTTTGTTCTTCCCTGACGCTTTGAGAGACACGGAGAAGTCACTGGGCTGGGGAGGAGAGAGACACTCGTTAGCCTGGCCGGGCCTGGGAGGGGAGGGCTTCTCTCCCAGACCCTCAGCTGCTGCTTGTGCCCAACTACCTGGGAATTACCGCCCAAATCGCACTTATGCAAACCCCACCCGCACACAGCGCAGCAGCCAGCTCTCTGCTCTGGTCTCTGACTGCAGGAGTGAAAGGAACGGCACCTGCTGTCTGGGAGGACCCAGCGGCCATCCAAGGCTCCGGGGTTCTGAAGAGGAGAAAAGTGAAACTTTGCTTCCCACAGTTTCGCTGCTGAATGTATTTCAGTTATTTCAAAACTGGAGCTTTGTTACTGAATGTACGGTGCCAGCTGCTTAGGGGATCTACCTGACTTTTTCACCTCCCAAGCTACTTTTTATAAACTGGGAATTTTAAAAAAGGGGCTTGTACATAGACAGCAGCTAAAAGATTTCCTTCTCTTGGCTTCTACCATTATTAGACATTCAACCATCAAACATGTTCTAATCTGCCCCAGCTGGTTGAGGTCCGTGGTTAGAACATCGGCCCTCGCACCAAAGGGTCTTGGGTTCGTTTCCCAGTCAAGGGCATGTCCCTGGGTTGCAGTTCAGTCCCTGGCCCCGGTTGGGACGTGTGCAGGAGGTAACCAATCAATGTTTCTCTCTCAGTCTCTCCCCCTACCTTTCACTATCTCTAAAAATCAATGGGAAAAAAAAAATCCTCGGGTGAGGATTAACAAAAACAACTACAACAAAAAAGCTCTAATTCTAAGCTATTTAAAATTCTGGTTGCATTTTAAACACGGATCATAAAACCCCAGAGGGGCTGTACAACGGTTCAAGCACAGATTTTATTGAGAGATGTTTAAATTTGTGACATGTCAGCGCCACACTTATAACTGAATATATTTTAGAAAGACATCATTATTTGTATTAAAATTAGTCTTTTATCTCATTTATTGAAAAATATGCACAAGATATTAAGAATGTTCTTTAGGGAAAAAATTATTGATTAGCTCAATAAAGAACAATTATTTATTGGGTACTAACTACATAGCCGACAGGCCGTGCCCTGGTATTGTGTACATGTGTGTGTACTGTGTGTATGTGCGTGTACTGGCGCTGTGTATGCGTGTGTGCCATGCACAGTATGTGTGCTGACTGTCCAGTAGGGAGACAGATAAATAGAAGTAAAAAGGCCGTTATGTGTCTAGTTGCAAACTGTGGTGGGCTCTATGAAGAGGAAGGAGAGAACCGAGGCAGGCCAGGCTAATTTAAACACGAGTGTGGGGTCAGGAAAGGCTCCTGAGGAAACTGGGGGAGCCGCGCTGTGTGAGGGTGGGGTGCTGGGGGAGTGTGGAACTGGGCACCGGCGAAGAGAGGGAGGGAAGAGCCAGCCTCTTCGGAGGCATCGTGGACAGCATGGGGGAGGCAGAGGGATGCTGACCTCCCTCAATGGCCTCAGAAGAAAACCCATCTGTCCCCCTCTGCCCCCCCGCCCTGCGGCTGCGTCACCTGGCCCTGCCCACAATGCGATCCAATCAATGAGAGGAAGCATGCGCCATCCCTAGTCCCATTTCTCCTCCTGCTCCTGTAGTTCTTTGAGCCCCTACCCCATCCTTGGTCAACCGCGCCTGCAAGGCTCAGCTCCTGCAAGGCTGAGGACGCCTCCTCACTCCCAACAAGACAGGCTCTTCCAGAGCCTGTGGCGAGCGCACCTCATGCCGTGGCAGGCCCAGCGCCACATCCACGCCCATCCCTTCATCGTGCCCCTCCCTGAATCTCTAGACCAGGTCTCAGCTCCCGGGACACCCAGGCCTCACGGGTGCTGAGGACACAGCCCGGCCCCTGCCGGGCCTCCACCACAGGGCAGCGCTCGCCAGCACCTGCCATGGATTGTTAGGCCGAGTTTACAAACGTTTGATTAACAGTGTGAGAATCTTGCAGAGCAAGAGCTAACCCATATGAACAAACGAATGACAACTCAAGGAAATGGGGTCTCAGAGAGCTCAGCCCTGGGCCGGGCGCTGACACCCACCAGCCACGCCCCTTAGCACAGGAGAATCAGTGACACTGTATTTATAGCTTGTGGCTCGCTCTGCCTGAGACAGACCCAACGGGACAAGCCCTGGGGGTAGGCGGGGGATGGAGCTCAGGAGACAGGAAGGCTGGCCTCTGCTAGGCCGTACCTTATCTGCAGGGTCATGGCCACGGAAGGTGGGGGGCGCAGGGCAGCAGGGAGTGGGAGAACACAGACCTTGAAAACTATATTGCCAATTCAGACTCTTAGGAATGAGTCAGCAGGAACACTGACGTCACAGATGACCCTGTCGACCAGCCCTTTCGACATGATATTCTAAAGCACAAAGCAGCGTTCTAAGCAATCATGCGAGCACACAGTTCCCAAATCCTGATTATTTCACAGGCTCGAGCCACCAGCCGGGGGAAGCGCCTCACTGTCCTCGCACTGCCGTCTGAGCCGCTGTGTGGCTCTCGGAGCAGGACAGACAGCCCTCCCTGCGCCCAGACAGGGCCCGCAGCACCCGCGTCGCGTCCCCAGTGTTCAGACCATGAGCAGCGCTCACACGGCGCGGTAGGCAGCATGTACAGCTATGACTGCTCCCAGGGCTCCAGTGTTCCTACAACAATGTGCAGGTTCAAGCTCCTATTATTTTATAATACGCCCACTCTGAGCCAGAAGTTTTTGCCTTTTTAAAGCAAAATGGAGGGCAATCTCACTTCACAGTCTGGCACAAGCAGGCCCTGAGCTAGTTTCATTGATACTTTAATCCACTCACAGCCACGGCGGCACCGTGCCGAGTACGACGTGAGCAAGTCAGAGTGAGAATATGTAGGCCTGACTTTACTTACCAAATGGTCAACAGGTGGCTCTCTGGACAGGGAAGTTTGCTTTTAATTTAAGCTCCTTAGCTTTACACCGCGGGCACTGTGTGCCACAGCAGTGAAGGACAGAGAACCGCCAGGTTCATGTCAGGCGGGCGTGCTGAACAGGCAGGATTCTCAGTTCAGCCCGAGCAGACCCCCCGCCTCTGCACTCAAATGCCCGGCTCCACGTTTCCACCAAACAGCTCCACGTGGCCTGGCGACGAACACGCCTGGGGAGCACTGTCAGCAGCACCTGGCAACTGGCCTCCCCCCGTCCCCAGACCAGGGAACCAGAGACTCTGGGTGGGGCGCAGCCACCTGTGTTTTAACCTCCAGCAACCTCTGGTTTTTTCTTTTTTGTTAATCCTCACCTGAGGGTATGTTTCCACTGATTTTTAGAGAGAGTGGAAGGGAGGGGGAGAGACAGAGAGAGAAACAACCCTATCACTGAGACAGACACAGTGATAGAGTTGCCTCTTGTACTTGCACCTATGGGGCGGGGATCGAGCCTGCAACCGAGGTACCTGCCCTTGACCGGAGCTGAACCAATGGCCCTTCAGTCTTCGAGGCGATGCTCTATCCACTGAGCCAAGCTGTCTAGGGCTCAACCTGGTGTTACTGAGCCCTCCAGGGGCTGCTGACACAGCTGCAGAACAGAAATGAAATTAGGGCCAACCACCCCTGTTTCCCACGGTCGGAGCCAGAGGAAAGGTGTGAATGTCACTCATGGGCTCTGTACCCGCGAAGGAGAGCGTTCCATGGCCAACCTCCCTGCGGCTGCAGACGCATTTCTGATTCTCGGCCCTGCAGCAGACATAGCAGGGAGTGCCTGTGGGGACAGCAGACACTGTGGGGGTGCCTGCGGGGACAGCCGGACACTGTGGGAGTGCCTGCGGGGACAGCAAACACCGTGGGGGTGCCTGCGGGGACACCTGGACACTGTGAAGGTGCCTGTGGGGACAGCAGACATTGCTGGAGAATGTTCCAGTCTCTTCCCTCCAAATTGAGCCGGTCCAGGACCTGACAAGCCACTCTGCTTCCAGGACAGAGCACAAGGCGGGCCATTCTGAGAGGGCAGCTCCACAGCCTTGCCCGTGGCTGCCGTGGCCCCGCCGGGCCTGGCTTTCTGAAGCAGACTGGGGGCACCAGATGTTTTGGGCCCTGAACAGTCACCTCCCAAGTGGTGGTGTACTGATATGAAGACTCGGGACTGTAAACTTAAGCTTCTCAAAACACGTTCTTGCTTGAGTATCTGCTGAGAAAGGGCGCCAGCTCAGCATTCCTTCGCACAGGCGCTGGTTTCGGGGTGCAACTGATCTGAAGACACGGGCCCTACAGGGCAGTGACCATGGGCTGTCCCCCTGGGCACAGGCAGAAGACTGGCGAGTGCCCTCACCGAGGCCACCGTGCACATGCTCCTGAGGGGGAGCAGCCGGGACGGGGAGCTCCTTGGGCTGATGGGACAGACGCAGGAGCTACTGCTTGTCCAAGAGCTACATCCGCCAGAGCGTGGGCCCACAGAGGCGAGTGAAAGAAAAACCGTATCAGTATCTCACCCCCACAGAACCTCAAACAGGCAGCACTGACACGCACTGCCCAGGGGCAGGCTCCGGCAGCACAGAAATGGTTACTGTAACATTAAAGGCCGCAGCTCTTACTCGTGGGCTGTGGTGCCGCCAGGGGGCTGACGTGGGTGTGGCCGCAGCTTCCAGAGGGCCAGGAGGAAAGTCCTGTTCTTGACCCTGACCTGGGCCCTATTTCTTGACCTTCTTCACCTGCGTTAAACTAGTTCTTCCTAAATTGTTGTCCCCCATCACTGCAGTCTACCAGAAGGCTACTTTGGTGTTGCTGTTTCAATGTGTTGTCCAGCTGTTCTGCTGTTTCGGCAGAAGTGTGAGCCGACATTGCCAGGTGGGGAGTGGTCATGTGACCCTGGACAAGCTGTGCCCGCCCACCCCCGGGTGTCTATAGCTCCAGGACTGAGAGGCACCAGGCTGGTTGCAACAGGCTCTGCAACAGGCTGCCTGGGCCACAGCCTGGCTCCTTAGTTTAATGCAGCGGTTCTCAACCTGTGGGTCACGACCCCTTTGGCAGTCTAATGACCCTTTCACAGGGGTCGTGGA